GTTTCGCCCTAAACCACTTCCACTCCATGACCCTGCTGTCTTGGTTGCACCTTCTGTGCTACCTCAAAGAGAACCCCATTTCTATAGAGTAACCTTAAATCTATGAATCTAACCAACGAGTACAGCTCAGTACAACACCTAAAAAACTCAAACAAATGCATCTACCCAACAACCATGCCCGGGTGCGGACCCTGAAACTAATGAGCCCGGCTGTGTCCTTGGTGTTGGCGACAGCACTCCCACCGCCCATACTAGCTCTGCCACCGCTAGCATAGACGCTACTGCCGTCCTCATGTCTGCCGCGTCGGAGACTCGCGGCTGCCACTGCAGGAACAAGCAATGATCTTCTTCCAGACTTGGTCTCGCCAATCAGACTAGTACATGTCAATTCTTCGTCATTTTCTGAGGTAAAGGTTTCATTACTTGAGTAAGGTGGAAGCCGGAGGAGACCGATTGGGGCCCATACCCTGAGTGCAAGGCACTCCCCCTCCAATCAAGGAGCAGGTTAGGGTATGGACAACCGAGGATATGGCGCCGCCATACCTCCCTCCAATCGGGGTGTTCATCTTTCCGCAATTCGTGGCCACAGGACTCGATGAACCCGCTTCATCGTCAAGCGTCGGCCGGACCCAGGGGCGCTAGGGCTGTGCTACATTCGATATCGAATTAGCGCAAAACTTAGCGCACCGAAGCGCTACCGGGCGCCTGCCGACCTCCTCCCTCGGAACTCGCGAGAATCTGAAATGGCATTTTGCCTTTGTTTTTTTTTGTTTTCTTTTTCGGAAGAAGAATGTCTTCTGTTTCTCACGTGACTCCGCGTGAGAGGCGAGGGGACAATCTATGGGCCTCGTGCAAAATGAGAATCAATTTTCCGCTAGAACATGGAAGGATACACGGCCATGATTTGTGTCTTTTGGGCATGTCGAGAGTAGTGGGAGGACGCCCTATTGCTTTGTCAACCCCTTCTTTTCAAGGCATTCTCACGCAGCCTTGTCCACAATCCCCTTCTTTTCAAGGCATTCTCAGGAAGCCCTGTCCACAATGCATCTGACTGTACCTCTGGCCAGGCATGAGGTGGTACGACAAGGCCTCAGTAGCTTGCTATTCATTTTTTAACTTTTTCTTTTTTTTCCTTTCCTTTTTTTTTTTTTTTTCCTCT